TAGTCGCTGTCACTGGCGTGCTTTGGACCCTGTGGTCTGAGGTTCGAGCCCCGCCACCGCCACTCGACTTTGTTGTTTGCAGATGTTGGTCTCCCTTAAAGGAGTCAAACGTCGAGGTATGACAGGTTAGCATTTTAGTGACCATTCGGCTCAAACTTACCCCGAGGCGTTTTTCGCAATCATTGTGAGATCCTTTCTTGGAAACGAGAACCATCAGTGATTCTCCCAAGATAAAGGAATGCGCCCTTGCGTTCGAATGTTATACAGTAAGATAGTAATAGAGTTAACGAGGTTATCACTCCCTATCCTGAAAAGAGTGTAAAGGAGCTCATCCTGCTGCCTTTTCTCCCTTCATAAATTTAATACAAGACCGAACTTCTGTTTCTGCTGGAGGATCGCACGTCAGTGCCCAGGGGGCTTCAGTTGCGGAAGAAGGAATCTGGCTAGCGCCAGGCCAGCTGAACTGTCCGCCGAAGTATTCCACCCAGCGATCGAGTCGTTGATCCCTATTGTGAATAGCTTGCCTCCTCTTATCGTAGACTGTTTCACTAACGAGTTCGCCGACCTCGTGTTGAATATAAGTCCGAACAGTCGTTGACTATTACCTGATACACCTACCACTTCTATTTCACTATCTATTGTTGCCTACCAGTTCTCGCGGACCTCTCTCAACTGTTCCAAAGTGCCCGATCAACAGACATCGTGGTAATCGCTGGAGACGTCAGTGTTCAAATGGGATCCTTGGACGAATGAGAACGGCTACTTGGTGGTTCACTTGCAATCCCAGCTAACCGGACTGACAACGCGCTGAATACGGACTGTTTCTGTCAAGAACCTTCTTCTCGCAAAAGAAACGACGATGCCGCTCTAAACTCTGGTGCCGCCTCTCTCTGAAAGCTGTGCCCGAGAAGTTCATTTCAATTTTGCCTAATTCGTGTCCGAGCTTACGACACTTTTTCGCCCGAGTTCACCACGGAAAGTGACGTTCTTCAGGATTTCATCTCTCGGTTTCTATTATGCCTTGCCATAGATTTAATTCTTGAAAGATTCATACCAACCTGCGAGGATAGCGGTATTCAGTTACTCTCAGGTGACAGACTGTCTGATTTGGAGTATGCAGATGACATTGTGAAAATCCAGGTAAGTTGCAAGCTTTTCTGGGCAGCTATATCTCACCTAGTAGCCGTGTGACAGATAAAGTGTCGGCACGCATACAGAAGGCTCGGTTGGCATTTGCCAAATTGAGACATCTGTGGCGTCGTCGCGACCTCCGGCTGTCAATGAAGGGTGGGGTATATGCTGCAGCAAGTGATCAACCTCCATAGAACTCGTTGGTTGGGGCATGTTTTACGCATGTCACCAAAAAGGTTACCACGGCGAGCGATGTTTGCCGAGGTAGGTAGCGGTTGGAAAACGGTCAAGAGAGGTCAAACTAAGATCTGGCATGAGGGTATGAAAACCCTAACCAGGAGACTAGGTCACATAGACCCCGGTAGGCTCCCTGGCTGGGGACCTCGGGATGATGGTCATCAATGGTTAGAAAAAACTGAGTGATATGGCTGGGTGTCGCAAACAGTGGCGCTCGTGCATCCACTCATTATTCCCCTAGCACCATTCTATATGAATTCTCCATGTTCCGCTTGAATTTGCTTTCAACATTCCAATCTTCATTCTTCTCTTTTATCCAAATGGGCGGTCAAAAGACAGCAACCTAAACCGACGCACGACAGTGCATAGTTAATGTTTGTAAAAGCTGAACTGAACTAAACTGCGGCAGTTCGGCTCGTCCTCCACTACGGTACAGAGAATTGGGCATTTCGGGGACAGGATAAAAATAGACTGTCGGTGTTCAAACGCCGCGTTGCACGAGTCTGGCGGATAAACCGGACAAGCAATGCTGAGGTTAGGCGTAGAGTTTTAGGTGGTCACGGTCGTCCACTGGAGCAAGTGGGTAACCTCCACAGATTACGCTCGTTAGGTTATGCATAGAATCATGGAAGTTTTGATCGTAAATGAATAAAATAGACATCCTTTAATTATACTCTGTTGTATAGTAAACAGCATAGTCGCGAGGGCTTACTATTCAGTCACGGAAACCAGTAACCTAAGCCTCTGAACTTGCAGTGTCGAACCACATTAGACCCCACTAGCATTGGCGTGGTATTGAGCTAGGAGACGGTGCAGTTGTCTTGACTGGTGCCATCGAAACCAGTTGGAAAACATGAAACAGACAAATGTCATACACAGTAGTGCTCATGCTTTCAGTTTCTTTGATAACCTGCTTAACCTTGTTAACCGTTTTTGTTTCGTAACAAGGACTGGAACATTCGGAATTCAGGTAATGATTGTGAAAAAGGTGCAATGACTTCCAAAGCTCGGTATTTAGAAGCCTTTATTTGTTTTCATTTTTTCGGAATATTGATCGAAGAATGACTGCAAATTTACCCTCTAGGTGATCATTTTCCTTACAGAATATTCGTCCGTAAAACGCCTAAGGGCGCTAATCTCGTTTGATGCAATGGGATCATGGGAGGATAATGAGGAAGGAGATAATTGGATTACCTACGGAGCGGCGTTCAGTGACGATGATACCGGTAGGCAGACCTAAATTAATCATTTATGTTTGTATTCAATTTAGAGGATGGACGACAACGTGCGCTATACTTCGGAAAACATCGACCCGTTCCTACGGCTTACGAACAGCGAGTATTAAATGAAAAGGGTCGTCCTATGCGTTTTCATGGAGCATTCACCGGAGGCTTCTCTGCTGGATACTTCAATACCGTGGGGTCTAAAGAAGGTAAGATGGTAACTTTCCTGTGAATTTATTTCCAGCTTTGTTACCACTGTGAGCGAGTGCATTTTGTGTACTGGTATTCGTTCTCTTTGCAGGTATTTATTATTTAGATTTCTTTGACTTTATTAGTTATCACTATTTTTCACCCCCTGGTGATTGTTTCACTGTGCAAATTTTAGTCTTTTTTGTCTTTTATAGGACACAGGAAAATAGTGCATAACAAGAGTAACAGTAGTTTTTGTGTGCTTCACCGTACACTTTTTCAAATGTTGTGTGTGTTAGTCTATCGTTTTTTTAATGGGTACAGGATTTCAACAGGCCGATCGTACAGCACTCGCGCCACTGACTTCTGCTCTGGGCCATATCTCTTAGCGTCTCTAACTAATGACAGTTCTCTTCGGCCCCAACCGAAGCCAAAGCTAAAACTAACTGCATACCTCTACGCGATGTCATAGTCGGACCGCCGCGACGCCTTTCCCAACGAGCGTAACGAGAAAACGAAAAGGACGACGATTTACTTACGCAAAACGTCATAGAACCATCGGAGGCAGTGGTGTTGATCAAGTGTTTTAATTCACTTTCACTGGCGTGCTTTGGGCCTTGGAATCCTTTATTCGAACCCGATCACATCCACCCAACTTTGATGGCAGGCAGCTTCGCAAAAGTCTGGCTTGATACCACGCCTGTGCTTATGAGGCCCTATCTGGTTCGCTACTCCCAGTTTCGGGGTTTAGGTTATCGGTTTCTAGTAGGTCCTCAAGACTATGCTGTCTACATAATCTGCTGTTCATCACACAAATGCGTGCAATAAAAAGGCCGATTTATTCCAAGGAACTACCATCAGCACCAAAAACACGCTTCCATTGCTCATCCGATTTTCCCATTAGAGGACATCGGTGGTTAAATGCAGAAAATTGTTAACATCTTCAGCATAAAGAGGCCCAAATACTTCCTAATATAGTATTCTCTGTTTAAAGTGATCTCATAGACATTGTGCATATCCTTTTTACGAATGAAATAACTGAGAGGAAAATTGTAGTCAAATTTCTCCTTACAGTTTATAAGTCATTTTAAAAATGAGCTATGCGTACGCTCTCATTGTGTCTTCAAAGGAAATTAGAGCTACGTTTTTTTAAAACTTTTCTTGCAGGTTTCAAACCACGAAGTTTCCATTCCTCACGGAAGGACCGTTCTCGAGAGGCCGACGAAAGACAGATGGTGCAACGTCCGGAGGATTTCATGGATGATGAGGTTTGCCCATAAGTTGAGCCTATACACTGCCTTTACAATCGTCGTTAGTATATCCATTATTCCCTCCACACACCACACAAGAACACCAACCAAGAATAATTCCTCTGAAAATTCTATTCTGTCTTCGTATATGGTAGGACTTCGGTGAATTCGGAATTGCTCCCAGGCGAATCAGAATGGCCCATGGTTTTGATGATACTCACGTACGCGATTCCATCAAAGCTGCGTTAGGAGGCCAGTCCCTCATTCCGGTGTCCAGTGAATTCCTCAAAAACTTGATTGTACCATCAAAGTAAGCTAATAAAATGTGCATGCACGTCCCTGGACCATTCAGCCTTATTTCACTCATTTGAGCTCATGCGCTACATTCAAAATTACTTTTCCAATAGTTCAAATAAAGTACGAGATTATTTTAGTGCATCAATGTTTGCGTCACTGTTGCCCAACAGAGTGGCAATAGGTTTACAGTGTGTTTTAAATGATTTGCTTTACCCTGGGAAAGCCCTAAAAATAGCGTAAGACGAGAAATCCACGTGTAACGTTTCTTTTTGATACTGTGTTTGAAAGCGTAAAATTGTCGAATCAAGAAAAGCAACAAAATACCAATGATGTTGCACATATTCACACTTTCCAGAACAAATCGATAAACCTTTTAGGATGTACGGTTTGGGGTGATTCGGTACTTGTGTCCCGGACTAGAGAACAAAGGAAAATAGAGATCGACCGCATGGGTTACGTTGAAGGACCATAAATCATGATAATGCCCCGGGGCACTGAGAATACTGTAGTTCATTAAGGATATCAGTTTAATCATCTGGTACTTCATTCACATACACTACACTGTATCACTCACTCGAGACGTCAAGTATTATTCACTCCTAGATGAGCTGACTGCTCATATCCTATCGAATCGGTCACTGCTCCGCCACGGAAAGACCGATCAGGAATGATTTACTGAAAGTTCGATTAATTGCACACTGTAAACGCGCTTCTCAGAGTGTGTGATAGCAACCTTACTCATTTTCGTTTTTCCAAACAGTCCATGATATTTACACTAGCCTTCAGTCAATTTAATCCCACGTAAAGCTCTTCTTCTCACATATAGATCAACGTTGATTTACTGAACTTTTGTTGAGAAAATTTCATTTGTATCTTGTCTATGTTCTCTATGCTTCATATGTAATATATATTTCACACACGTTCGAAGCCAGACTATGTGCCAAACAAATCACGGTGCAATAATCTCCATAAAAAAGAGAAAGTTCCATAGTTTGCATCTGGGTGGAGTACTGTGAGGTTTCCCTGGCTAAGGCAAGTGAATCTTCTTTGGGAATTCACAACTGTANAACTGTAGCCTTCGCCTGGCCAAAACTTGATCCACAAGGCAGCAGGGCGATGTGTGAAAACTGCAATCCATTGGGGCCAGTGTCCAGTCCATCAGATCATACGCCCGTTGGACGGAGCCAACGTCCAAGGTGTCAAATTGAGTCGATGATCACTGCCACAACCAGGGAGCTGAAGGTGAGTGTGCTTTGTGCGCCTCCTCTTGATTGGTTTGAATTCAGGGCTTTTAGCCAACTCCCCTAGGTGAGCTACCCGGTCGTTCACCGACCCGGTTACAGCTCCAGATGTTGGCTTTTTGTCTTCTCTGTTTAGTGGGAAAAGACCTCCGCCACGAGAAGGCAGTAACTACAGCTTCTTCAGCACAAGCTATTAGAAACGCTTGTTCTTGCAGAAGCATTTCTTGAGGCGTTAGAAAAAGGTAACCAGCCACAACCTAAGACAACCACCCCCTACCATACTGAGGCTTTCGAAAACTTTATGCTTCATATGTATGGTGGAGCTCGGACGTTGTTCAAGTGTGGTTGATGACAGGAATAATTCAGTTCTTGGTTGATGCTTCATGAAGCCTAATGCGTTAACCAGATGGGCGTGAAAAGAAAAATTCGTAAACGTAAAGCATTTTTTCGCTTCACGTCTTGCATTTCGATCCGTTATATTGAGTTTCACGGGAAAAATTGGTGAGCTTCGTAAATGTCAACCAGTCTTACATGATTGAATCGTTTATTACTGTCTATTACTCTGTGTACAAAGAGCGGTACGGTAAATGATGATTACAATCGTTTTTGTTTGAACTGTATTTTAGAGGTCCTTTAGCTGAACGGCTTCTTCGACGAATGGGTTGGAGAGATTCGACAGCGGTTTTGGAGTCCGAGGAAACGTGGAATCAGCTTGACGAAAGTGACGTTTCTAGTAGCAAAGTGAAGGACACTGACAACTCGAACGAAATCCCTCCAATGCCAGGTTCGTGATAATCTGATCTTTTCCAATGTATCCCTCTTTCATGAAACTCTCACCCACATCCAACAACATTTTGGGAGTATTATTTAAAACATAAAGTCACGTTAATATATGCGAGATCATGTATATTTGTGATGGTTATGTTTACCTCATTCTCTCATGTAATTTTCAGAGTTCTGATGCGCCATACGCCCTTTTTATTTATGTATTTACTTATCCTTCATTTTCTTGACCAGCTCCATGCCTCTTCGCAAAAATCAGTTTTGAAGCTAAAACAAACACATTCGGATTGGGCTATTCCGGTTTAAATCCTGACGTTGCAATGGGACGCCAATTAACTGGGTCACAATCAAACGCGCCATGGGATCAGTTGGGCGATCGTCATCCTGAAGAATCATCCACGGCCCTAAGTCGTCGTCAGCAGGCGGTACAATTTCAGCCGGGATTCAATCCTCACACCGGCCCATCACGCAGTGGGATACGAGGTAAAATGTTTTGATTATGGCTTTTGTTGTTCCTGTTGTCGTTGTTTGTTCACTTATTCTCACGTTCTTTGTGCATGAGTTTCCAAAGTACAGAAAACGAGTGTCTCTTAGTTCGGTGAATCTATTTCTTGATTCGGAGAATAAATAACATTAGAATCGGAATAATCCCAATGAGGTAACGCTCCAAGTTTTAACGGCACTGCTTTTCAGATTTTCTCTTCTCACACGATTTTAAGCACGATTTCAATATTTGACGTGATAACCAGAAAAAAAATTATCTTTTGATTATGAACCTGTTGTTCATATGATGACAGAATAAAACATGTCATTGAAGTACTTTTGACTATATTGAATCGCTCAATCATCTGAAACTGAAAAGTATCCTTACAGCCTCATTGTTCGTCCTCAAAATTCAGCTGCATCGTATACAGTGGGCCGCTCTATCTTCATCTGATTAGACAGGAATAATGTCAATAATAGTGCCAACCATTCCTTTCACTCACCTTCA